TGGGAAAAAATTGATTATGTTCTTCGACCATATATAAAGGTAAGAAAAAGTTATATTCTTTGTCTCTCTTTGGTTACACTTTATCTTTCTTTTTCTTTTTTCTTTTTCTTGTTCTTTCCTGTCTTTTTCTCCCCTCTCCCATTTTGCTGTATATTTGTTCTCATTAAAACAGCCTTTTATTTGATTTTTATAATTTGCAAACTAGAAAAAAATGTGATAAAAAGATTTTGAGGTTGATTAATAGATTCAATATGTACAACTTTTTAGGGAAATTCCAAAAAGAAGGTCCGATTAAGTGGATATGGTGTGGAGCTTGCCATCAAGAGCACTGAATACAAAGCACAAGATGACACCAAAGTGCAAGATGATGGAGGCAGACAGGAGGAAGATGATGAACAGGAAGTGGAGGTTGAGGGTTTCCTCTTCTCTAAGCTTGAGTGAGTTTTGGAAGTATGGGAAAGGGACATTTATGGACAGTGTTTTGTTTCTTGTTGGTTTCTTTACTAACCAAGTTTAAGTGTTTATGTATTATATTAGCATTTACTAATTTTAAGTGTGAAATTGGTAATTTTGTTTGAATTATTTTCTTGTCATGTCTATTGATTTTTCAGAAGCATATAGTTACACCAAAGCTGTTCTGTGTTTTGCATTAAAGAAATATCATCACAACAAATTCAGCTCTCGACACCTGTCTACATTCTTACCTTAAACCTGCTTTTTCCTAAGGTCACTTCACCCAGAGAAAATGGAGGAGCTAGAACAGCTTCGCAATCATTTGGTTGAGTCCCGGCATGAATGGCACCCATGAAAGTGTGGCAGCTGCAGCACCTGAGTATGCAAGCTGCTCAGCGTATTATGACAACACCGAGGGAAGAGCAGTTGAGTGTCTTTGTACACACAGCTCAAAATTTTCCTATGCTGGCACGGTCTTTAGTGAGAACAAAGGTATGTCAAGGCAGAAGTTTTGAGATTAAATGATTCAGGAGAAAAGAAAGACACTAAGTACTAATATATATGTGTGTCTGTCTCTATCTATGTCTGTGATAATGTCATTTTAATTGTTTATTTGGGATAAAGTGCAAGTATTCACATTATTCTCTTTACCTGATTTCAGGTTGATGACAAGATGAAAAGAGAGATCTTGAAGAACCAGAATCAGCTGAGTGCACAGATGGATGTCAACCCCTCTGATGCTGCTCTCTTTATTAATGGGATGTACTTTGATATGGATTTCACTGACATCTACACACTTCTAGACCACATCCGCACAGAAGACCGTGTTATGGGGGGTCTTTATAAACTGGGTAAGTTTGCTTTGTCCCACTTATGCTCTCTATTTGTGTGCCTTATTTTAAAGATTTATATATTTATTCACTTCAATCAGTTTTCTTTTTTTTTTTTTGCTTTTGCTTTTGCTTTTGCTTGGTATATTTACAAGATGTTTATTCTCATCATAGTTGTCTCCTTGCCTTTTCATTAATTTTTCTTTTTATCCTAGATTTTCATTATGCATTATTGAAAATTGAGGTGAAGTCCTTTGAAGTAAAGGAAGCTTGTCGAAAAGATGTTTAGATTCAAGGAATTATAGAAATTGTATAGTATGTCTTATGCACTGAATAACAGCTGGTATCACAAGATTTCCACAGCTAGTTTTAATATTGTTCTTTAATGATTTTTTGTTTTTTAACAGGTGTTCCAGGAGAGTCACTTAGTACACTGTTAAACATTGATCTTAGTGAAAGTAAGCAAGATTATGGTATTGACATCCGTGATACTGCTATTGTTTGGATGAATGACATTGAGAATGACAGAGCTTACAGCAAGTGGTCATCATCAGTTGGAGAACTGTTGAGGCCAACATATCCTGGCATGTTGCGCAGTATCAGGAAGAATTTCCATAATTTGGTAAGTAAACATTTTGATTTAGATTACAGCTGTGCAGCTTTTCTATAAGACGTTGATGTGTTGTAATGTTCATTAATGATAATGAGGCATTCTAAGGTACAATAAAACTCTTGCAGGTTATTGTTGCCGAACCAGAGAAAGCAACAACAGCCGACCTTATAAGGCTGGTTGAAGGTTTCCTAACCCACAATGCTCCTGTCCGCATTGGTATAGTGATGTCCGTTAACCCTGACCAAACTCTAAGGGGTTATGATGATGCTGGAGTGGCCATGCTGTGTGCCTTCAATTATGTGGCTCAAAACTTGGAAGGCCGTGAGGATGCAAACTACAAAGCACTTCAGTTCTTGGTTGATGTAAGGACTTTCATTTATATTTGTTTTGATATTTATAGATTATGTGTCTGCAGTACTTACTATTTTAGCTGTTTGAATGTGCTTATTATATTGATACTCGTGCATTCTGATTATTTAAAATAACCAAGATTGTTTTTTATTGACAGCTGTACTCCAATGTCCAAGGTGACATAACAGTAGATGATGTAACATCCCATTTCAAGAGCAAGTACCGAAGTGTTGATCTTGAAGATGTGTTTGGAGAGGATTCAGATTACGATGTTGGCCGTATGCTAGCTCAAGAATTTGTTGAGAAAGCTGGTATCACAAGTCTGCCTCAGGTAGCGTTTATATTTTATACGAAATCTGAAATAATGTAGATGCTCTTGATTAAAAGATCATATTTAGATAATTTGAATTACGAATGATACATTTTTTATGATGATAAATCTTTCATTCTATTGTACATATATCTCCACTCAAGGAATATTACATGAGTGTTCAGTAGAAATTTATTTAACTCAAGTAAGACACATTGTCAAAATATTCTTTGTTATTATCAGGCTCTGATGAATGGTGTTCCTCTGCCTGAAAAACATTTGAATGCAGATGAATTTGAAGAAGTTGTCTTGATGGATGTTATGAGGACAACACAGACTTTGCAGCGAGCAGTTTATAAAGGACAGCTGGAAGATAAACATGATGTAGTGGACTGGCTGATGAGTCTGCCAAACATCATGCCAAGGTAAGCACACCATAGGAGCTGTTTAATTGTGAGTGGTCTTATGATAACTGCTAACTGGTTAATGTACTATTTCATATTTCAGGCTGAATGAAAGAATCCTAAGTACAAAGAACTCTAAATTTATTGACCTTACTGGTACATCTGGAGAGACGCTTAGTAGTGTGCCTGTAGAGTCTTTTGCAACACAAAAAGCACCAGAGATGACAGCAACTCTGGCCAACTCTTGCCGTTACATCACCACGAAGAATGACCACACCTTGCGACCTTTGACGGTTTGGATTGTGGGAGATTTTGACACCTATGAGGGTCGAGCAATTCTTCTAGAAGGTGTAAAGTACTTGGTATGTTTACTTACATCTCAGTCTTTTACATAGAAATTAGGTATTCCATTACTGTCATCAGTGAATATTATTTTTAATTAGTCAGAATAAAAGGAGAGGAGGAAAAATCTCTATTTATAATCAACTATACTATTGATATGTCTTTATTGTTTCAGCGAGAGAGCAACAGCATCCGTATTTGTGCAATACACAATACAGATCTCTCTAGTGAAAGTCCTAAATTATTTAGCCGAGCAGTAGAAGTAGCACAAACAACTCTGCCTCCAGCTGTTGCAAGGCAGTTCTTGGCAAAGGTTCTTGAAAAGGATAATGCTAAGAAGATTATTGCTGGAACAAAGAAGTGGAAAGACTTTGAAATTGCTGTAAGTATTCTTTAGATTTTTTCTTTCCTTCTTTCTTTCTTTCTTTTGTATGAACATTTTAGTGTACGCACACACATACATAATACATGCATGAGTATATGGTATTCTAGATTTGTGTAATGTTAAAGATTTTTTTTATGAATTTTAAAGGATCATTTTTTTATATAGGAATTACCTAAAATAAAAGTAAGAATGAAAGACATAGAGTGAGAGAGGTGCTGTGCCAGGAGATAGGAAAACCAAGTCCACTGAAGTCATAGTTTTTAATTGTTTTATTTGAGAACCATTCTGTTTTGCCTTGGATAAGAAACCATAAAAATAAGTCTTGTTATATGCAATATTATCTTGTATATCTCATTGTTTGATATTGGTTAGTTAAAACATTTTATATCCACTTTGGTCCAATGCACATGGGATTAGATGTAAATAGAATAAGAATGTTAATATATATTACAATGTCTGCCATCAGTATAAAAAATATTAGCGATGATTATTTTGCTTTGAGGATTGATGCTAATATTTTCATAAAAGACTTAACACATGAAAAGAAAATTAGAAATTCTGGATACATGCTCGTATCACAGATTTTTGTTTCATTTTTGTGTCCTGTTTAAGACATTTTATTTTCATTTTTGCAGGGTTTAGATATAGATGCCTTCACATCACGCATGAATTCATTCAAGGATTCAGTATTTAAGGCTCACTCAGTATTTTGCAAAAAGGTTAGTACAAACAGTTTTATGTTCCCTTTTGCTATATATATATAGATATTTGAATATTTATAACCTCTCCAATTGGGATTCGATTCCTCGCCGCCGTTGCACGTGAATGCAAGACAGCTGTTCTAGACCACTCCTAGACAACCCACTCAAAAGGAACTAGTGGTCTAGAGAGGCCGTCTTGCAGCGGCCAGTACATTATTCCATCTTTCATATATATATGTATATAAATATATACATATATGTATATATATATATAGGAATTGAAAGACGTTGCATGGCTAGTCTTAATTATCAAGGATGTAAAAATCTTTCTTTAAATATTACAGGTATTAGCTCTCTCACCTGGACAAAGGACTGTTGTTGCCAATGGTAGACACCTGGGAACATTCAAGGCAACAGAAAAGTTTGTTATGGAAGATTTTGGCCTTCTAGAGAAATATGTTCATTCCACATTTGGAGAGAAGCTTACAGAAGTGTTGATTGGTGAAGGTGAGGCAAGATTGAGAGTTTTCCATCAGAAAACACTTTTTTCCCTTTTGTGAAGGTCATTACCATTAGTTACAAGTGTGAGAGTTTATTTTCAGAAAACCCTTTTTCTCCTCTTTTGTAAAGGTCACTACCATTAGTTACAAGCACACATTAGGACTCTATCTTCAAAGACACCCAAAACAAAAGTTTTAAAGTTTTATGAATTTCCATCAATAAGACTAAAATGACTTTACAAGTCTCAGGCAGTAAATCATGCAGATTAATTGCGAAATAGGATCATGAAATAGAATTTGGAGAAATACAGTATTTTTTATATATATACTTGTGTAATGTTAGGACACAGGTCTTCCAACATTGGATTAGATGATTTTAAGAGCTCTTGCATTGCTAATTACATATATTTATTTCAATAGATCCACCTGTGAATAGTGATATCAGCGACTTGACAATGAAGGTAGCTGGTGTGCTTCAGACCAAGCCACAGTCCAAGGGCCGCACAACCGTCAACCTTCGCTCTGACCAATATTCTGTGGTCAAAATTCCTGCCAGAAACCCCAACATGCCTGTATTTGATATTGTTGCGGTATGTGATCCAGTGTCAAATGCTGCACAGAAGATTGGTCCAATCCTGATGGTACTCCAGGAGATTGTCAATGCTGAAATTCGTGTCGTCCTGAATGCTAGGGAGAAGCATTCAGAAATGCCACTTAGGAGGTAATTTTTCATCATGGTTTAACAGCATAGAGTCATTTCAATTTCAGGTTTTCCTGTTGCTGTAAAGAGTATAAAAAAGCAGTATTATATTTCATGAAATGATCATACCCAGGTGTTTTGATTAAAGAATGGTATATTTTGTGCCCTATCAAGAATTCTTGGTAAGAGAAACCATAAGATAAAATTACTTTAGCTTGATTCTTTTTTTCTTCATACCATCATTTAGTTATATTTCCTGCAGCCAAAAATCCAGACGAAAATTTCCTGCCACTTTGTCAGACCTTGCTAACAATTTTCATTATCAAGGAGCTTTAGCACACTGACATTGTGAAAAGTACTGGTTATACTGAACACTGATAATAGTAATATGCTCACAAATGTTTTAAATGCGAAACTACAGTGCAGTACAGTATACTATAGTAAGTCCGTCTTTTCTTCTACTTTCAGATTTTACCGTTATGTACTGGAACCTGAGCCTCAGTTCACAGAGGCAGGTGACATGACTGCTGGACCCTATGCCCGATTTACTGGTTTGCCGGAATCATCAATTTTGACTCTGAATTATCATGCACCAGAAAACTGGTTGGTAGAAGTTGTAAAATCAGTGTACGACCTGGACAACATCAAGCTTGATTTAGTAGAGACAGGAGTTCACAGGTATGTTGATTATGTTAGATTTGAGCAATTTATAATATGTTTGATTATATTAAGGTTATATAAAGTTAAAGTCATTATTGTTACATAATTTTTAGATATAAGAAATAAAGGTAGACCAGTATGAATGGCATTTTTTTAAAACTAATATCTTAGTAACTAGGTAACCATGTCTTTTATCTCTGTTTGTTCTTGTGACTGTGTGTGTGCAATGATAATGATCATGTTAGATTAACTTAGTTTTATTAAAGCTTTATCTTTTTTGCTTTCTGTATGTTTTTTTTTTCTTTCCTTATAGTGAGTTTGAATTGGAACACTTATTGCTGGAGGGTCACTGTTTTGAGCAGTCGTCTGGAAATCCACCAAGAGGGCTTCAGTTCACACTGGGTAACAGGCAGCAACCAGTTCTGGTATGTAAATATTTTATATATGATAGTTATGTGTCAGATTTGTTTTCTTTCACAGTTCTATTTTTTCTGTTCTTATTTATTTTTTTTTATTTATTTATTTTTTTTTTATTATATTATTATAGTAGTAGTAGTATTTTTGGACAAATTTTATATGCCAAGATAATTTTCTTGGGAAGAAGATTAGATGGATAACCTTGCCTAATAGTTGCTTACAAGTAAAAACATACGTTCTATACTGTGTTTACTTTGAGTGTATGCAAGTTCCAATTTGTGTTGATGTCATGTTGCTTTTGTCATTTCAGGTTGACACCATAGTTATGGCAAACTTGGGATACTTCCAACTGAAGGCTAATCCAGGAGCTTGGTTATTGAGGCTACGGCAAGGAAGATCTGCTGATATATACACTATTGCAAGGTGAGATTTTTTCTGCAATAGGTTCATTTTCTTTTATGTTATCAGCAATTCAAATAGATGTTATAAACTAAGACAACTTATGATTATCAGTCCTGTTTAATCCATAGTTTGCTCTTTTGTAAATTTTTGTTGAGCATTGTTCATAATACATAGGAGAAATTCTTCCATAAAGAAAGGATTCTTGTTTGCAGCCATGAAGGCACAGACACCCCAGTTGGATCCGAGGATGTGGAGATTATTATTAGTAGCTTCCGATCACACGTGGTCAAAGTACGTGTAGGTAAACAACCTGGAAAGCAACATCTCGAACTCCTTGCAGATGAAAATGAAGAATCAGGAGGACTCTGGAACTCCATCACCAGGTAGGTGTTTTTGTCTTCCTTTATTATGCGCAAGATAAAAATGTACTGGATTTTGTTTGCTAATTGTGTGTCTCTATACCATGTAAATGTGCTTTTGTGTGCCATGGTTGAATTGTCCAGAGACACTTGTTCTTGATTGGGAAAGAGACAAGATAGGTTTAGGTGTATTCGTCTTGGTTAATAATTAATGGATTCTTTATCATGGAGGTCAGCCAGTAATTTTTAGTATAGGTGATAGGGCTTTATGAAGTTTAAATACTATTCCTGTATTTATTATGAAATTAATAATTATATTCCATTTTTTTGAAGATGGCATTAGCCACAAATATAATATATTTCATTTATCAGATTATGCAAGAAACCTTAATATTTAATGTGTAGGGTGCTAGTAAACACAAATTGTGCATAAAATGGCTGCAGGTATTAGGCTACTTGAGAAATGCTGCTAATTGTTGACCACCAAGATAGAGGACCATACATATGCATAAATAATGCTATTATCCTGTGAAATAAAATGCAAGGCCTCTGTATATAGTTAATAGACTCGAGTAGGAATTTCTTGGCATTGATGTATCAGTTTGCAGTCAGAGGCATGACTCTTAGCACAAATACACCAATTTTTTCTTTCTTAATTTCATTGCTGCATTTCTTTGTATTTTTTCTTGTATCATTTCTTAGCTTATCTTTGTTTTATTTTCATTCTTCTCCCAGATCTTGCGTAATGAAGATTCTAAACTCTTGATACTTATGATTTCCTGTTTACACTCTCTCTATTTATCATCCTTGTCATTAAAGTTGTTGACATTTGATGGAGGACTAAGTTGTGGGATTTGACAGTGCAGTCATAGGGATTTTTTTGTGATATAATTACATTTGCTCAGGTTATAGCATGTACATGTTCAGTTTGGTGTGAACAGAATATGATATGAATTTAGATTGGTTCAGCCTTTCCTTTCTTTTATTTTGTATTTTTTCCCTGCCACTGATATGGTTGCAATGGCAGCTTTGCCAGTATGTCAGAATTGTGAACTTTGTGTCT